AGACCCCTGGAGGAGGAAGAAACACTGTTTCCATTCAGTTCTGCAGGGATGCCGCATTCCAGATGTGAATGAGAGATGTGAGGGTGAAGGAAAGCAGAAGGCATGCTTGACAGCTTAAGCAGCATTTGACAGTGTGGGTGACCCTTTCCATCTTGAAAGTCTTCCATTCCTTGGTTCAGACCTCCTTACCCTTTGGGTCTCTTCTTCATCTGCTTCTTTTATTTTCCTCTTTCTCCTATCCACTTGTCCCCCAGCCTGTCCCCCTTGACCTGGAGGTCTCCAAGAAGCCATTTAATAAACTTCTCGGTCCCTAGCATAGTAACACACAGATTACAAATGCTCATTGAAGTGTGAATGAACGAAGCAGAGGTTTAAATAATGCGTACATGCAGTCTAAACAAGATGAGTAAAACAAACACCTTTGTATCTGTCACCCAACTACAGAAGAAGCCCATGACCAATCATGTAGAAGCTCACTGGGCCCCAGTGTGGTCACATCCTTGACCCTTCCCACTAGCAGTGCCCTCATTCCTTAATTTCGTGCTAATCACTCCCTTTCTATTCTGTATTAATTTGTAATTTCTGTGTGTACTCCTACGTATTTTGTAGTGTGAGAATATATTGTTTAGTTTTGCATGTTTCTAAACTTGATATACAGGGTCTGGCAGACGTAAGACTTGCTTGAGTGTAGTTGGTAGGGTATGTGAATGTCTCACATGAGATGGACAGCAATTTGAACATTTCACCTAAAATGTCATAGGGTATGCTTGAGTTTGATATTGTTATGTTACAGAATTACATGCTTATGATTTTGTCATTAAAAGGGGAGTTATTTGCGCCAGACCCTGTATGTTGCTATAGTCTGACTTCATTCATATTTTTAAACCATTCAAATTTATTTATTTTTACTGTAGTAAATTACATGAATATATATAAAAGATAAAACTTGACTGTTTTAACTATATTATGTTTTTATAGAATCATTTGTGTTATTGCATTAACTATTTTCATCACTGTGGAATTCCATTTTCCTTAAAGATTATAGGATTTTACAATAAAAAAAAATTTGTGAAAAAAAGACCATGGGATCATTCAAGCTTCCTACTTATTCTAATCAGCTTTGATCATTTTACTTTCTAGGGATTCATTTCATTTACCTTTTCAAACTTATTGACACAAAGTTCATAATGGTTTGCTGTAATCTTTATTACATCAGTAATTATGTGGGGTTTTTTTTTAATTCTAATAGTGTTTGTTCGTGCCTACTCCCTTTGTATCTTGATCAGTCATGCTGGAGGTTTGCTTTAGCATTTTCCAAGAACCATCTTGCAGTTTTGGTGGTCCTCTCTTTTGTACCTTTAGTTGCTTTTTCATTCATTCTGCTTTTGTGTATTTTCTATGTGTCTCACTTCTCAGTTTTTTTGCCCCTTTTTTGTCTTTTTAATTAATCAACTTATTTTCCCTATGCACAAACATTTCCCTTCATTTTTTTCTTCCACCACTTAGGAAGTCATATGATGTTTCTGTTCTTTAGTGGGCAGATTGAGACGACAAGGGTATAAGGAAAGGTGAGGACCAAGGTAGAACCCTGCCTTTCACCTCAGAAGGTCTCCTGCAGTTGTCACCCCACCCCGCTGCTGGCCTGGGTCCTGTTCTCACTGTTGTGATACATGTGACCTGTAACCTCTCCTCCCCCACTCCATCCCTCACACGTTATCTTCCCCAAAGCCCAGGTATAATCAGGTTACTCCCCCACACACCTATCTGTGCTGGCTCTCCAGAGTCGGTCAGATAAAGTCCAGATTCCTTCACATGGCATTTAAGTCCCTGACATACTCTTCTTGCTTTCTCCAACTCTCCAAACCCCTCTCTATAATACACTTCATATTAGCATACTTGAAGTTTCCAGAACTAACCCTGTACTTTCCCATTATATTTATTTAATCATAATATCCCCTTTTCACCCTATTACCTATCAAGTCCCTTCTTCAGTCTCTGTTCAAATCCCTCTGGTCCTGTACATGCCAGATTAAGTGACCTGCTTCACTGCTTCTTTAATGATTCCCCAAATGGAGTTAATACCTCCTTCTCTTCCCTTACTGGTACAGTTCTGGCACTTTCAAATGACACAGCCTGTTGTGTCTGAAGGTACATTGAGCAGCTGCCTCCATTGCTAACACATCTTTCTCTCCCACTCAGATTTATGCCCTCAACAGGGTCATGACCGAACTGGAACAGCAGCAGTTCGATGAGTTCTGTAAACAGATGCAGCCTCCTGGAGAGTGAGCGGCAGAGTTCAAAAGAGACGGGACCCAGCGGCTTTGTCTGTGAGCTCCTTGCCAGTGTTAGGCTGAGATGGCCTGTTTGGAGCCTTACAGAACTAGACAAGAAGGCATTTGTGTTATTCCTAAAACTGGATAAATCTGAACTTCCTACATATAACTTCTGCTTCCCTGGTTCCTCCGATTTGAATTGGCCCAATGCTTGCTGAAGAGACTTGTTTTATTCTTCTAAGACAATAGTCTTTTTTTAAAAAACCTTTTTCTATTGTTTGAGAACAATCATTGTTTCTTGTGAAACTGTAAATCTCCAAAAATACAAATAAAATACTAGTAAAATGTGCATTTGCCTCATACTTTAGTGTGGGAGTGCCTAGTTGTAAAAAGTGGAAGCAAAAAGAATGTTATAGGAAAGAAAGGGGAGGGGAGCAGAGGGAACCCTCTCTCCGCCGGGAGGGGAGGGGAGGGGAGGAGGAACGGAACTGCTTCCTGGGGCTGGAGCTCTGTGGCCCCTGATCCTCCGTTTTTAGCCACAGTGTGAACCTGTACCTTTTACTCCCGGATGAGCTACGGCTCAGGGTCATCTGGAAGCCAGGGTCCTCTCAACTTGTGAGTGGACACCTACCAGTAAGCTTACACCAGCTGGGAGGGGAATGCAAGTGCTTTTACTTTGTCATTTGGGGGTGACTATCAGGCCCAGAAATTGGTTTATGATGGGGATATTCAGACTCATGGGTATTTGTGAGACTCTTAACCACAACCATGTTATAGTAAACTTGTATATAGCTCACTAGAATGCACAACTAAATTGATTCATTTCCAAAGTAAACACTTTTGAGAGCCGGGCACGGGCAGGCAAGGAAAACCCAAAAGCATAAAATGAAGGAAGTTAAAATATAATGGGACGCAGACATAGGCATCTAACTAAAGAAATACGTGATAGAGGAACAGAGAACAGTGGGGAGCAGGGGGGGCTCTGTTCCTGTACCAAATCAGAGCAATATGGACTTCTTTGGGTTTTTACTTTTAAATCCTAATTTTAGATTTAATGCATAATTTCCACATACATTGTTCTACAAACTTTGAGAAGTTGGACCTGCTGTACAAGGTGCTCTGGTGCCCTGGCTGAGGGGTGGGCCAGCCCTCAGTCCTCGGCACGCCCCCTGGAGGCAGAGCCAGACAGTGCTGGGGGTTGCTGCTTTCAGTGGGCCTGTGTGTGTGTATGTGTGTTCATTGTTTCTGAGGTGCAGCTTCACAGCCCCATACAGTACTGTTTATTTCTGTTCACTTTGGATTTTAGAACACAAAGTGGCATTAGAATATCTAGAGTTCAGTATTTTAGAGCCCAGAGAAAAAACAAGGTCCCAGAAACCAAACGATGCCCTCAAGCTTCCAATCTGTCTAATCTCTAAATGAAGCAAAGGCAGATGCTTTGGCTATTGAAATAATTACAGAAATTTAAGTTACAATAACCCATACACATTCCAGTTGGGCCATGTGATTGTCCTGTGACTAGCTCTGCTCTATGCTGCCAGAGTCAGTAAGACCATTGCAGCATTAGTTTCAGTAGCCAAGATGTGGAAGCAACCTAACATGGAAAGACAATTGGAAGCCCTGGCTGGCATAGCTCAGTGGATTGAGCACGGGCTGGGAACCAAAGTGTCCCAGGTTTGATTCCCAGCCAGGGTACATTCCTGGGTTGCAGGCCATAACCCCCAGCAACCACACATTGATGTTTCTCTCTCTCTCTCTCTCTCTCTCTCTCTCTCTCCCCACCTTCCCTCCCTAAAAAAAATAAATAAATAAAATCTTTAAAAAAAAAAGAAAGAAAGACGATTGGATAAAGAAGAGGTGGGACATACATGCAATGGAATGCTACTCGGCCATAAAAAATGATATCATTTGCAACAACATAGGTAGACAGACCTAGACGGCATTATGCTAAATGGATTAAGTCAGACAGAGAAAGACAAATACCATATGACTTCACTTATATGTGGGATCTAAAAACCAAAGGAACAAACAGAAACAAATGCAGATGTAGAGATGATTGCCAGGTGGGAGGGGGGTTCAGGACTGGGTGAAAATAAGTGAAGAGATAAGAAGTACAAAGGGGCAGTTACAAAACAGTCATGACGATGTGAAGTACCACACAGGGAATACAGTCAGTAATATTGTAGTAATTGTACAGTGCCAGATGGGCAGTAGACCTATCAGGGGAGCACTCTGTATGTTACATATATGTCTAATCACTGTGCTGTACACCTAATATAATATTGAAGGTCAACTGTAATTGAAAAAGAAATGCGTTAGTGAGCAGAGCCCCCACTACCACTGCAGTAATTAACAATCAGCAGGGCCAAGGTGGCAGCTATATCAGTTCTGAAGGGTTTCACTTCTTTCCAGGGGATTATTAACCTTAGTGCCCAAGGTCCCCAACTGGTAAAAGAGCTGGAACTCAAACACAGCCCCATTTGAGCTTGGAAAAAACTCTGTTCCATCTGACACAAACAACTGTTGTCCTCAAGGGATTCAGATCCCTGAATAAAGGGGAAGAAGGAAGTTCGCTGGTCCTACTGGGCTGTTCTGGTCCAAGACAACATGCACCTACCACAAGCACAACACAGGAACAGGGAAAGATTTAGTGAGGATAAGGCGAGGTTGGCCCAACAGGCTGCCACAAACCCCACAGAGGCCAGCGGGAATGGGTCTCAGAGCTATTTAGTTTCTTAAGTGCTGCAGCCTAAGACACATTGCCTTGCCCCACAGAGCGTCTGGAAAGAAAATGTAGGAGAGCGACCACATCAGGCAGTAGAAAGCAGTTAGCGAGAATGGAGACAAAAACAGCATGATGACACCTGGAAGAAGAAAACGATACGCTCAGTTTTTATGAAGCTGTTTGACGTGTGTTTCCCACTCTCTACTCTCCCATCCCCACTCACCTCCCAGATAAACCACTTTTTTCCAGTTTTCAGAGTCCAGGATTTCGTCATGCGGGTAGTAGCTCTGGTCCATCATGAATAGGATCATAAGTGAGGCCATGCAAGAGAGAATGAACGTGTTGCCTTTGGTCAGAAGGGAAGTGGAGGCCAAAACACAGGAAGCATAGGGGCATGGCAGACCCTTGTATGTGAAGGGAGTGCCTGCTAAGGAAAGGAAAGATGGGGGTTAGCTGTTTGCTGCTGATCTCAAGGTATCTGCATGAAGCAAGCCCTTGTCCCTTTGGATTTTCCCCGCCCCACGCTCCAAACCCCCTTAATCCCAGGCCAGTGGCAGACCATAAAGTATTTAGTTATTCACAGAGATGATGTGTGGGCTTTGCACTGGACTCCCAAGGTAAAGTGGGCAGCTAGGACCAGGTGTGGCCCTGGCCCCCAGGAAGCCTCTGCAGAAGGGTGCTCTGAGAGCTGGTCTGCATATGAGCTCCCTCGCTTTAGGCTCTTAGGCAGCTGCCCTGGCTGGAGCTCAGTATCTCCATCTGTTTTGGGAAACGGGAGCATGACCTCTCGTTCTACAGTCTGAATCCATGTGCGTCATCCAAAGGTCACATAGCAAGAAAAAGGCATAGCTGCGCAGGAACCAAGGGCCCCCAGCCCCCAGACCAGGGCTCTGCCAATGCAGCCTGCAGCATCCAGTGGGTCCAGGGCACAGGACAAGGAAGGAAGAAGGACTTTATAAAAGGAAGGGAAGAAGTTGGTTACTGCACCCCAGGCTTCTGGCTCCTCCTCCTCCATGGTTCCCTAGTTCAGCCATAAGACTGTGTTCCACTCACCCGCTGAATAAAAACACAGGCGGAAAGAAGTAGCTAACACATAGATGACGGCCAGGAACCCATTCAGCAGTCCATCCACGCCTAGGAGCAGGGCTGAGGCCAGGCCACAGGTGGTGAAGACAGCAAAGTCATTCAGCTCAGCTCCTGCTCCAGAAGGCCAAGGTTAGAACGTACCCTTATACTCGTAAGGGTATATATTATTACCCTTACACATTAATGCCCTCTGGTGGGGGTGCTGGAATGGTGACAAGCAGGGTCTGAGGTCCCCAGTGCCAACCACATCTACTCCCCCAGGGTGGTCTACAGATCAAAGACTGGTCTCCTTCGGGCTCTTCCTTAGACTGACCATGTGGCCTTAGGCAAGGCTTCCCCTGTCTGGGTCTTAGGTCCATCCTGTAATGTGCAAGGGTTGGACTACAACTGGATACAAATTAATAAGCTCCAGAATGCTTTTTTCAAGCAAAATCTGACACAGAAATATTTTACTGTATTTTCAATCAGCTGCACTGCTTAGAGTAATGTTTCATTTTCCCTCTCCCCCTTCATCATAGCCACTGCTCCCACTCCCTGGATCAGCCCAGAACGGGGATGCAGGGCAGACAACAGGGAAACTGGAAGCCAGGCCAAGGATGGCCAGAGATCAGTAAGTGAGCCAGCAGAGGAGCCAGATCTGGGCGGAGGGGTCCAGCTCCAACTCGAGGGATATGAACAGAATGGTGTCTGTGAAGGCCTGTAGTGTTAGGAGATGAAGGAGCTGACCTGACATGGGTGCCCCTGGGGTCAGCGACTAGGGTCCTGAGGCCAGTACTCACCCGATTTACAGCAGATGTTGAGGTGTCTGGTCACTGTCCTGATAACCATGTCTAACAGGAAGCTGATCAGAAGCATCCAGGAGGCACAGTGGAATTTCCTAAAGCACAGGCCAGCAGGCCCCAACAGGACAGTTCTTTCATAGTCTCCACTGGACCACCACTCCACCTCCAGTGCACCAACACGTGCACACATACACACCCCTGTAAGTTCCCCCCCACTCACATCCTTTCTGCTGCACACTGTATATACACCATGCGCATGCACACACACATGCACACACACCTACATTCCTTTCATATTTTCAATCCACAGTCTTGAAGGAGTACCCCCAAACCCCTAGGCAATCACTAAGTCCCCTTCCAACTCCAAATTTCAGGCATATTCAATGGCCTACGGGGCCTAGGTTCTAGCCCAGCCTCTGCAACCACATTACTGTGAGTTCTCATGTAAACCATTTCCCCCTTTCTCTAGGCCTCTGTTCCTCCATCTGCAAAATAAGGGGTTTGTGCCAAATGATTTCTTTAATAGATATAAGCCTGTTCAGGTTATCTATTCTCCTACTGTGAGTTTTGATAGCTTAAGTCTTTTAAGGAATTGGTCCATTTCATCTAGGTTATCAAATTTCTGGGCATAGAGTTGTTCATAATGTTCTTTGATTACACTTTTAATGCCCATGGGATCAGTAGAGATGGATCCTCTTTCATTTCTGATTCTGTTAATTTGTGTCTTCTCTTTCTTTCTTTTTTTTTTCCTTGATCAGCCTGGCTAGAGGTTTATCAATTTTATAGATCTTTTCAAAGAACCAGTTTTTGGTTCATTGAATTTCTCTATTAATTTCTTCTTTCTTTTTAAAGATTTTTATTTATTTATTTTTAGAGACAGAGGAAGAGAAGGTGAAAGAGGAAGAGAGAAACATCAATGTGTGGTTGCCTCTCACATGCCCCCTACTGGGGACCTGGCCCTCAACCCAGGCATGTGCCCTGACTGGGAATGAAACTGTTGACCCTTTGGTTCACAGGCCCACACTCAATCCACTGAGCCACACCAGCCAGGGATATTCTCTATTAATTTCTTATTTTCAGTTTCATTGAGTTCTACTCTAATTTTTATTGTTTATTTTCTTCTCTTACTTTGGATTTAATTTGCTCTTCCTTTTCTAGTTTCCTAAGGTAGAAGCTCGGGTTACTGATTTTAGATCTTCCTTCCTTTCAATGTTTTCTAAGAGTCCCTTTTTTAGAGAAGTTTTAGGTTTACAACAAAATTAAGAGGCAAATACAGAAATTTCCTGGAACCCCCCTCCCCCCACATATGCATAACCTCCCCCATTATTAACATCACGCACCAGAAGGGTACATTTGGGTTCTCGGTACATGCCAAGGATGAACCTACATTGCCACATCATAATCAGTCAAAATCCATAATTTACCTTATCTTAGGGTTTGCTCTTGGCTTGTATATTCAATGGATTTGGACAAAAGCATAATGACACAGATCCATCATTATAATATCATATAGAGTATTTTCACTGTCCTGAAAATCCTCTGTGCTCCACCTATTCATGTCCCCCGCAACACACTCTCCCTTTTTCTGGCAACCGCCGATCTTTTTATTCTCTCTCTGTTTTCTTTTCCAGAATATGTAGCCTTTCAGGTTGGCTTCTTTCACTTCATAATGTGCATTTAAGTTCCTCTACATTTCCTCATGGCTTAATAGTTCATTTCCTTTTAGCACTGAATAATACTCCATTGTCAGAATGTACTACAGTTTTGTTTTGTTTTTTATCCAATCACTTAGTAAAGGACATCTTGGTTACTTCCACGTTTTGGCAATTATGAACAAAACATCAAAGACATCCAAGTACAGTTTTTTTCATGTGGACATAGTTTTCAATTCATACCAGTTTATGAATAGTTTAAATAAATAGCAAGGAATGTAATTACTAGATCATATGGTAAGAGTATGTTAGTTTGTAAGAAACAGCTAAACTATCTTCCAAACCGGCTGCACCATTTTTACATTCCTGCCAGCAATGAATGAGAATCCCTATTGCTCCATATCCCCACTAGCATTTGGTGTTGTCCGTGTTCTGGATTCTGGCTATTCTGATAGAGGCATAGTGGTATTTCACTGTTGTTTTCATTTATATTGCCCTGATGACGTATGAGGTTGAGCATCTTTGCCTATGCTCGTATGCCATCTGTATATCTTCTTTGGTGAGGTGTCTGTTAAAGTCTTTGGCTCTTTTCAAATTAAGTTGTTTATTTTCTTATTATTGAGTTTTAATTATTATTTTTGGTTATAGTCCCTTATCAAATACGTCTTTTGCAGATGTTCTTTCGGTCTGTGGGTGGTATTCTAATTCTCTCGATGTTGTCTGTTGCACAGTGGATTTCTAGTATATGCATTTAGTACTATAAATTTCCCTCTAAGTACTGCTTTTGCTGCACCTCACAAATTTTCATAAATTTTATTTTCATTTTCTCTTAGAAATATTTTTTAACTTCTCTTGAGACTTCATGTTTTATTCATATATTATTTAGAACTGTGTTGTTTAGCCATCACATATTTTGGGATTTTCTAGTTATCTGTCTGTTATTGACTTCTAGTTTAATTCCATGTGTTCTGAAAGCATACTTTATATGCTTTCTATTATTTTAAGTTTGTTAAGGTATGTCTTATAGCCTGGAATATGGTCTACCTTGTTGAGCTTGAGAAGAATATGTATTCTGCTGTTGTTGGATGAGGGAGTCCATAAATATCAATTAGACCCAGGTGATTGATGGCACTGTTTAGTTCAACTATATCCTTACTGACTTTCTGCCTTTTGACTCTGTCAATTACTGATAGATTCTATAATAGAGGATTGTTGAAATATCCAACCATGATAGTAGATTCACCAGTTTCTCCTTGCAATTCTATCAGTTTTTGTCTAATGTATTTGATGCTATAAATGACTACCAAGAGCTCTTTCAGACCCTATAGTTAAGGATTCTATGCTTCTGTCCGGAGCATGCTCCCAGACCTTCTGAAAGCAGCCACCACAACCTCTGGCAAACCTGCCCGAGGAAGCCACTCCCAAATCTCCACTCTGACTGCCATGCTTGGACTGCCCAGCAGAAGCCACCACAGAGCCTGACCCCAGACCTCAGCTGTCCCCAACAACCTCGGCATTTTCTTTGTTTAGACCTAACCGTATGTGTTTAAAGGGAACTGGGCCCACCCCCATAGCATAAAAACCACACTCCGAGAAGCTCAGGCTGAACTTAGAAGACAGGGATTTTCTGCTGCAAGTATGCCTCACGTTTCAACTCCAAAAGCCCACACTTAGAGAATCATAAAATTTTCAAGCTAATATCATCAGGTAAAATCATCTTATTTTATGGATGAGACACAGATCCAGAGGAGTCACCTGCTGTGATTACAGGGAATCAAACAGATTTGGAGGATGTTATTTGCATTATAAACAATTTATCTATAAGAGTCACTTTGCCGAGGCATTGAAATATGATTCAACTTACAGAAATTTCATTTGTTTACAACTTTTTGGGATCCATATGCATGTCTCAGATTTTCCAGAGCAGTGCTAATTTTCAATATCCCACCAGACCATGTATTTTTACTTATAATCAAAATTTGAATGGTAGCCTGCCTATCCAAGGGTTATATAAAGTCTACCAAAGCAGAACCTTTTGATTTTCTCATGAAAATCATACTAGACTGCTATAGCTAGAAGGAACTACGGAGATCATAGTGCAAGCTCCTTGTTTTAAAGATGGAGAAACTTAGGCTCAGGAATATTACCTAGCCAAGGTCACATATCAGGTGAGCAGTAGAACTGAAACTAGAACCCTGGCCCTTTGACTCCCCACCCACTGTACTTTCTCCTGCCCGCATTTGATCTCCATGCCTCAGTGCCTGGCTCTCTAGACTCCCCCCTTCTTTCCTCATGCCCTTGGTTCCAGCTCTTGGCTGAGACTTTGCTGGGCCCCAGACCTACTTGCAGAAGCTGCAGAAGATGGAGAAGAGCCCCAGGATCATGTTGGCCAGGGATAAGGCATTGGCAACATCCTTCCAGGAAAATTCATTCACCTGGGGAGCGCTCTGGTCATTGGTCATGGAGAAACTGGTACACTGACCTGCGGCCCAGGGGAGAGAGGCAAGGGATTCCCAAGGTCAAAGTGTCCCAAAGAGGCTCCTAAGAACCAGGTAGCTCCTGTTCCCCTAGAGTTCATCCCACACCTGCACCCTCCCAACACTGTTTCATTGGCTGGGATGAGGCGGATGTAGGAGACCCAGGAGATAAAGACACAGGTGCGGAAGCTGAGTGTCTTGGGAAAGAACAATAGCGAAGCGAGTGAACCCGCACAACCATAGTTCCCAGGGCTCTCTGACTACACCCCTTTCCCGATAGCACAGACTTCCCCCCAGCCCACGGGGGTTGACCCTCCGGGCACCCCTGTGACCCAGGGTACAAAAAGTATGGGCCCTTCCCCACTTCTGAAAGATGAGCTGTTTGTCTTTGGGTTCTTTGTCATAGATGAGACTTTTTTTTTATTACAAAGCCACTTTCAATATTTTGGGGTGAGCCCCATGGCAATAAAAAACACTGGAAAGGGGTGACACCCCCACCCCAGGAGCGGCCGGGGGGAGAGAGGCTACCTGAGGGGAAGGAAGAACAAAAGGGGCCCACTGCAGGCTCAGGCTCCTCTGTCCAGCAGGCCACGCTCACGACCTCAGGACAGGGCTGCGGCTGAGGTGTCTCGAGCTCCTGGTTCTGACAGGCCCCAACCAGAGGAGCAGGCCCAGCTCCCACAGGGGCAGGAAGAGGTGAGAGAAAACAAACAAAAAAGTGAATGCGTATGGAAGAGAAAAGTTCGCAAAGCGCTTTTCACTGTGTGCTCTCTTCTGATCCTGAAGACTTTGGGAGATGGTGCTCTGGTTCTCCCCCACTGAATCCTCGCTCATTTTAAAGAGTTTATTCATTTATTTTTAGAAAAAGGGGAAAGGAGGAAGGAAGAGGGAGAAAAACATCGATGTGAGAGAGAGACATGGATTGGTTGCCTGTCGTACACATTGGTGACTAAATCCTCAACCAAGGCCTGGGCCCTGACCAGAATCCAACCATTGTTCTGCTGCGGCCTTTGGCTTTGCTGAAGAACACACGACCCCTGAGCCACAGCGGCCGGGGCTAACCCTTGCCTGTTTTAGAGGGGAGGAAGCTTAGGCTCAATGCCTCTGTACAGTCCCAGGTCCTTCTGATCAGGGCAAGAGCTAAGACAGTCATGGCCCTCTCCCATAAACCCTGATGCCAACATGTCAGAGGCTGGGAGGGGCTGCACTTGAAGTTTATCAGGGCGGCACTGTGGGTTCACTGCTCCCGCAGGCCAGACTTTCACCAAGGGGTGTCAGTGGTCCCATCACCAAAGCCATTGGGATTCTTCAGAGCTTCTCATACCAGGGCCCCTCAAAACCTAACACAGGAAGCAATGTGAGCCAGAGAAATATGGGAGGAGATGGGGCCAAAGGACTGTCTCCCCATGATCTCCTCCATCCCTGCCTCTCCTGGGCCTCAAGGCTGAACCCAGCAGGACCAAACACCCCTATCCCAGCCTGGCCCCCGTTGCCTGGAAGAGCAGTATCCCAGCTTCTCTGCAGGTGTCTGGGTTACACTTACCAATTACCAAACATGTCTCATAAATACTAGTTTGCTGTTTTTTTTTAATTAATGATCAGTTATCTACTGTTATTTCTTTCATTCACAAAGCACTTTCACCTCTGTGGTTTCCACTGGCCCTGTGAGGACTACCAGGTACGGTTCACTAACCCCACTTGCCAGGTAAGGCAGAGAAGACTCAGAGATGGGGAGAACCTTGCTCTCGGTCACTGACACCCCTTGGAAGTGGCAGGCTAAGACTGAAAACTTCTGTAAGTTCCCTCTGTATTCTGCTTTCTACTGACCATCACGACCAAGCGTTGTATTCATTGTAAACTCAGACTGAGCTGGGTGCTGGGGGAAACCCTTGGTCTTTATGGAACTTCCAAACTCTCCAGGAAAGCAAGGCTCCTGCATGCGTGTGGGGACTTACTCTGTTCCTGGTGGTGCCTCACTCACCTCACAGGTGGGGATGCTGAGGTTTCAGGATAGTTAAACAACTTAGCCCAGTGAATGGTGGAGCTAGGATTTGAATCAGGTCTCCTCCTTCCCAATTAAATGCCATTTTTAGCATAATGCCTAGGTCCCAGGTGTAAAAGCATATGGAACTGAGAGTAAGGGTTGTAGGACTGCAGGGAAAAAAGGAACAATCCATTCATCCAGCAAACATTATGTCATAAGCAAGATTTTGGTGCCTGGTGCCTGGTGCCTGGTGCCTGGGACATAGAGCAGATGAAGACCTGGGCTCATCTCACAAGGAATTCAGTCTAGCAGGAGAATTCCACCCTGCACAGGAGAAGTGACCAGGGTGCTAAGGCAGCGTAGAAGAGGGGACCAGCCTGTCAAGGGGCTTAAGGGTTTCTCAGAGGAGGGGGTCATAAGAGAGACACTGCACCACAGTGGCCTGTGGAACCAGATCACCTCACTCCCTAGCTCCTTGAATGCCCTCAGGATAAAATCCAACTCCTTCATTTGGCAGTTAAGCCTTTCACAACGAGGCCCTGCTCAGCTCAAAGCCTCCTATCTCTACTGCCCCCTGATCTCTTCTCTGGCCCTCCCTCCGGTCTTGGGGTGGGTGGTGGTCCTCTTTGGGGAGCTTGACACATCCCTCAAACCTGTTAAGTGTTCCTCAACTGCCACAGCTCCTTGCATGCACAGTATGACACTTGGCACTCCATCCTGGCACCACCTATCTTGCCTTCCTCCTCTACTGCAGGGGAAGCCATTTGAGTGTGGACCAAGACACCCTGTGCCTACCCTGAGGCGTGACATAGAAGCTGTTCAATGATTGCTGAATTAACAGAGTACGTCACTCTGGTGCTTCCCTGAGGTCCTCTCCCTGCACCAAATCACACGTCTCCCCTGCATCAAAGCCTGGTCAGCCTGTCCTCCAGGAACACTTAAATGAGCTCTCAACTATCCATCCCCTTCACCACATACATCTACCCAATGCTTATTATCTTCCATTTATTCATTAAGAAGAAAATATTTGCAGATGTCTGCTCTGGGCCAGGCCGGTGTGTCCTGGGGATGGAGAGAACAAGACCCAGGCTGCACGCTCAAGAAGCGTGGAGTCTGGTAGGGGAGTCAGACATGTGTAGGGACAATGAAGGCAGCGTGGCCAGAATTAGGTTAGACCAGGGGATATCCGTTGCTCTTTGCTGCAGGTGCAAAGAGAACGAGACTAAGTTTGGGGGAAGGGTTCCCTAATGTGACATTTGTGGAGGATCTCTTTGGATGAAAGAAGGAGGGGCCTTCCTGGCAACGGGAGTTGCGGGTGTGAAACGCAATGGGAAGACAGGATCCCAGGGAGAGACAGGGGGACTGCAGGCAAGTCAGCAGGGAGGCCACGTTGTGACATGCCCTGCATGCCCTTGAATTTGCAGCCTGAGGGGAGGCAGTGATGTTTACTGTAGTAAAGAGAGTGTCTTGGACAGACAGGGGTTTGGGATGGAGGGCGGTCTGAAGGGAGAAGCTGCGGAAGAGAAAACCAGCCATGAGACTGGTGAGGAGATGTGAGCACGCGGACCTGGCAGGACACTGGGACTGTCCGCGGCAGACAAGGGGAGACTGCATTACGCGGGCGTTTCTCAGGGAAGGAAATGGATGGCAGAGCAGTTACTCCCCATGAAACCCCGGGGGCGGCTCTGGAGTGAACGGCTCCAGGTGGAGCGGTCCAGCGGGCTGGGACGCAGGGCGCAGTCACTCGAGTTAGAGAGGCCCTCCCCACCCACCCCCAGGCCACCCCCCTGCTCTCGAGGCCAACAGGCCCCAACAAGAGAGCCAGCCTCTGGAGCTGGTCCCTCTGAATTGGAGACACTCCGGCTGGAGTTCAGTCCAGACGCCACTTGACCACGACCCACCGTGCGGCAAGACGCAAGAGCTGCAGCCAGGACTGGGTGCCCGCATTTTGGAACAACTCCTTCCCTGGGGGCCTGGTCGCAGCGTTAGCTCACCTGGGAACAGGACATTCCTAGCTGGGGTGGGGGCCCGCACTCCTTCCCTGCTTCCTGTGCGGGGGAGGGGGGCCAGCCCAAGCGAGGGGCTGTGGCACCGGCCCAGGCCTCCTACCCCTGGCTCTTAGCTCACAATCCCCAGAGGCAGGGGAGGGGCAGGCAGGCTTTAGCTGGTGAAGCCGGGTTGCAGGGATCAGTGGGGAACGGACTAGTCTCCCTCAGCGCAGCGTGGAAAGGCTTGGCAGGTGAAGAGAAAGCGTGCATGATGAATTGGAAGGAATTTGGGAAAGTAAGACTGTAAGAGAATGGATGCGGGGGTCCAGACGCTGGGGGTCCCCTAGAATGTAAGCTCCGTGTGGACAGCGCTTTCACACTGTGCGGCTCACTGTACGCCTGTAAGAACGTTTAGCCAATCAGTAAGTCCCCCTCACCCCAGTATTTGTTGGATGATTGACAAACTGAGTAATTTACACCCCGTCCCGAAAACAGTAAGTTTTAAACAGGAAAGTGACATGGTCAAATTTGTTTTAGAAAGAATATTCTGGCAGCCAGTGTGGAGGAAGTCCCGGTACTACTGCATGAGATGAGTCCGCGGGCTCGAGCAACGCTGTACTGTTGGTGAGCCATCGAAGGGGATGGGAAGTGGTCAGACTAGGAGCCCCGGTGAGATGGAATCCCAAGGGTGCGGGAGAGGAATGAGAGGGAGAAGGTGACGGTCTCTCTCAGGTATCTAGATTTGGCCACTGGGTGAGCAGTGTGCTACAGAAAAGAAATTTGTTAGTATTGGGTAGGATCCCAGGCACCAGTTCTAACCCCTGCCCCACATCCTCTCACCCACCCTAACGCTAAGTTAGAGCAAGGATAGCTTCCAGGACCCCACAAAATATGCAGAAGGGGTGGGGCTGGGAGCTCAAGTGACACTTTGCCTC